ACACAGAGACACAGAGACACAGAGACACAGAGACACAGAGACACAGAGACACAGAGACACAGAGACACAGAGACACAGAGACACAGAGACACAGAGACACAGAGACAAAGAGACACAGAGACACAGAGACACAGAGACACAGAGACACAGAGACACAGAGACACAGAGACACAGAGACACAGAGACACAGAGACACAGAGACACAGAGACACAGAGACACAGAGACACAGAGACACAGAGACACAGAGACACAGAGACACAGAGACACAGAGACACAGAGACACAGAGACACAGAGACACAGAGACACAGAGACACAGAGACACAGAGACACAGAGACACAGAGACACAGAGACACAGAGACACAGAGACACAGAGACACAGAGACACAGAGACACAGAGACACAGAGACACAGAGACACAGAGACACAGAGACACAGAGACACAGAGACACAGAGACACAGAGACACAGAGACACAGAGACACAGAGACACAGAGACACAGAGACACAGAGACACAGAGACACAGAGACACAGAGACACAGAGACACAGAGACACAGAGACACAGAGACACAGAGACACAGAGACACAGAGACACAGAGACAGAGACACAGAGACACAGAGACACAGAGAGCACAGAGACACAGAGACACAGAGACACAGACACACAGAGACAGACACAGACACACACAGACACACAGACACACAGACACACAGACACACAGACACACAGACACACAGACACACAGACACACAGACACACAGACACACAGACACACAGACACACAGACACACAGACACACAGACACACACACACAGAGACACACACACACAGACACACACACACACACACACGCGCGCACGCACACACACACACGCACACACGCGCGCACACACACGCACACACGCGCGCACGCACACACAGACACGCACACACGCACACACGCACACACAGACACGCACACACGCACACACGCACACACGCACACACGCACACACGCACACGCACACACGCACACACGCACACACGCACACACACACACACGCACACACACATATAGATACACACAAGTAACGGGATCCCCCATATTTTCCCATATTTTCTGGGTTTGTGTCTTCCCCCCGCTTCCCATATTTTCCTATATTTTCCTGGGGATCGACGATTAATTGTGTCTGTGTGTTTTTTCCTCCTGATTACTGGGCGGCGACAAACGGGGGGGGGAGAAAGGTGCACTTCTCGCGCCCTCTTAATTAGGGCCCCCTTTTGGGCCCTAAGGGACTCCTCGAGGGATCGTCACGGGCCCCTTTTCTGCAGCCCTCGCTGCCCCCCCCCACAAATCGCCCCCAATCTGCTCCACGCCCTAAGCTCGGAGCCTGCTCAGAAGCCCCAGGGGAGGCCGCCGGGGAAGCTCCGGGGAGGCTGCGGGGAGGACCCCCTTTGAAGGGGGCGAGAGGGCGGGGGGAGGGAGGGGGTTCTGCGAGCACCCCCCCCCTTTAGTGTATTCAGGGCCATCCACTGGCGCGCTTTCCAAATTCACTGCATCACCATCCGCAGAGCATCAGCATCAGCAGCAGCAGCAGCATCACCGTCGTCATCATGAGACCCCGGGAGGGGAGGGGGGACTTCGTGTATGTCAGTGACCATTGGTGGTCTTCAGCCCGGGGGCCCGTGGGGCCGTGTTCCCGTTTTGCATTTCTCAGTTTTTGCTTCTCTCTCTCTCTCTCTCGCTCGCTCGCCCAGTTCAACATCTCGGGCGATGCCCAGTCTTGCTCTCGCAAGGGCGGCGTGCACCACTCTATCACCAAGGGGAGCTGGAAAGAGCTCGCTTTCCTGGCCCCCTTCCCCTCGCGCTCCTCTCTTCTTTCCTCTTCCTCCAGCTCCTCGTGCACATCGTCCTCCTCCTTCTTCCTTTCTTCCCTCCCCTCCGCCTTCCCCTCCTCCCCCGCGTCTTCGTCGTCGTCGTCGTTGTCCTCCTCCTCCTCCTCCTCCTCCTCCTCCTCCTCATCATCTAACATCCGCTCCTCTCGGACCCCCCCAAGCCAGTCAACCTCGCCCCCCCGCTACTTCTTTTTTCTTTTCATTTCGCCAATTTGCTCCTTCTCCACCTCCTCCTCATCATCCTGTTCCTCGTGCTGCTCCCGCTTCTCCGCCCCCTCTCTTCCTCTCCGTCCTCTTCTGCTTCCGCCTCATCTCCTCCTCTGCTCTCTTCCCCCTCCTTCCTTCCACCTCCCCTCCGCTCTTTCCTCCGCCCCTCCCCGTCCACATCCTATTATCCTCCTCGTACCCTCCTTCCCCTTCTCCTTCTCCTCCACCTCCTCCTCCACGTTGCTCTCTTCCTTCCCTCTCTGTCCACCTTCGCCTCCTCCTCCTCCTCCTCCGCTTCTCCACCTGCTTTATCTCCTCCCGCTCCGCCTCGTCAGGACATCCAGGGAGCGGCCTGGAATCGCAGATCTGGCCAGTCCACCTTCTCACAGCTCCACCATGGCAGCATGGCTCGACCCCGACCGAGGTGAAAGCGCTGGTGGCAGCAGGACGCCTGGACCGAGATCGGGGAGGGGGAGCGGGCAAGATCCGCTGCCCCCAGCTACTTTCAGGAGTCCCAAAACCGTGTGGTGACGAACCGCGCGGTGACCTCGAACTTCCAAGAGACCTCACCGCGCGGTCCGTCACCGCACGGTCTTGGGACCTCGGAGGTCCTGGTCGCCCAAGGCGTCCTCTCAGAACGGCCCTAGTCCCAAACCCGTGCGGTGGCCCCGAATCCCAACTGAATCACCACGCTTTGTGCTCGCCACGCCGTTTGGGAGCCCTCAACTACTTGAGGCCGCCAGTACGGAACCCCGTCAGAGCCTAAAGCAAACTCGGCGAGCCTCGACGTGGTACCACGAAGATGCACAGCTCGTCCACCTCACCACCCGCGCTGGCTCTCACTTCCTTTCCGTCCTGCTCCTGACCCCCGTGCGCCCACTTCTCTTTTGCCCGCCTCTTAGCTTACCAGCGCACGACTGCTGGCCACTCACCCGACCTTAAAGGCTCCTGCGGCACTGCGGTGCAGTTCGGCCCCTTCTCCAGCCTCCCGGGACTGCCTCTTGCTCACCGGGTCCCCTTTCTATCGTCGCCGCGCCGCGTGTTTCGGGGAACGAAGAATGACATAAACCTAAAAACTCGGAGGTCCAACAACAGGAGGAGGAGGAGGAGGAGGAGGCGGAGAAGGAGGCGGAGGAGGAGGAGGAGGAGGAGGAGGAGGCGGCGGAGGAGGAGGAGGAGGCGGCGTCGGAGGAGGAGGAGGAGGAGGAGGAGGAGGAGGAGGCGGAGCGCGCCAGGGGCGGCGCCGGGGACGACGCCAGGGGGAGTCCAGCGCGGATGCGAGAGATCCGCGCGGACCTCCCAATGTGCCTGTGGTCGTGTCCTTGCTCCCCCCAGTCTTGCCTCCCGGGCCTCTTGCTGTCGCCGCGGCGCCACGTGTCTGCCGCCTCCCGCCGTCTGCCTCCTCCATCCTCGGAGCAGGGGCCGGCCGTCCCGGCATTCCCACAGGCCCACCACGACATGCTCTTCGAACCCAGAAGTGTTCGAAGAACAAGAAGAAGGTTCTTGGAACACGTTCCCGATGTGCTGAAGCAAGACAGTCCCAGCCAGACATGTTCTAAGAACATGTCGTGGAAGCCACAAAAGGTTCTTAGAGAACAGTGACTGGTAGGCCTAGAGGCACGCCGGGACGCTTCGCCGCTGCTCGAGTCCTGCAGCTCCTGCCGCGCTGCCTCGCTCCACTCCTGCCGCACCGCCGCTGCCGGCCGCTGCTGCTGCTGCTGCCAGCCCCACGCCATCACTCGGCACGCGCCTCGGCTGAGGAGCCCCACCAGCGTTACGGTAGAGGGAAACAATTAGTGAACACCCCCCCTGCCCCCCAAACTCAAAGTTGGCACGCGGGGGGGGAGACTGCGGTCGAGGTGCAACTCATCAGACCCACCGCCAACTTTGAACATTGGGGGAAGGGGGAGGCGTTCACAGATGAATGTGGCATGAGTGTTCGCTAATTTTTTCCGAGGCCTGTATGCTGTTCCCATGGTACTCAAGGACCACCCAGACATCATCCTGAGCACCCAGACAAGTATCGGAGCAATGCCGAACGAGCATCGCCTCCCAGGGCCCGCCGCGTGCCAACCCTCCCGTCTCGGTCCTTTCATGGTGCTCGAAATTCTTTCTCGCGGTCAAGGCTCAGTCGGTTGGAACATCATACAGGCCTCGGAAAAAATAGCGAACACTCATGCCACATTCATCTGTGAACGCCTCCCCCTCCCCCCAATGTTCAAAGTTGGCGGTGGGTCTGATGAGTTGCACTTCGACCGCAGTCTCCCCCCCGCGTGCCAACTTTGAGTTTGGGGGGCAGGGGGGGTATTCACTAATTGTTTCCCTCTACCGTAACACCAGCGGGCGCGCCCGGATACGCCCCCCCCCCGCCCATTTCAGCATGCCCTCTCCATGAGTCGTGCTGTGCTTCGCAGAGGGAGCTGCACCTGTGGCAGCAGAGAGGGCGCGCCCGCGCTCGGGCCCCTGACGAGTTCGGCACACCCCTGTTTTGGAGGCACACACGGGGGTGGAGGGAGGGGAGAGGACCTCTTAGAAGGAGGCTGTCTCTCAGAAGGCGCGGGCCTTGCATCTATAGATAAGGCCCGCGCCTTCTGAGAAGCCGGGGTGCGTCTAAGAAGCCCTCCCCCCTCCCCCCACCCCCCTCTGCGCGGGGCCGACTTCTCACGGATCGTGCTCCACACGGAACTCCACCCATACGGCACCGGTGGGCGGCCCCGCGCGCAGCGGCGGCCGCCGCCGTGGCGCGAGCGCCTCGGAGCCCTCCCGGCGCAGCACAGCCGCCAGAGCCGCTCCAAGCGCCGCCTGCGCCACGGGCAAGGCCGCCCGCGGCGCCCGCCGAAGGCCACCCGCCGACCCCTGCCAGGGATGGCCAAGGAGGAGGAGGAGGAGGAGGAGGAGGAGGAGGAGGAGGAGGAGGAGGAGGAGGAGGAGGAGGGAGGAGGGAGGAGGGAGGGAGGAGGGAGGGGAGGATGGAGTAGGAGGAGGGAGGAGAGGAGGGAGGAGGGATTGAGGGAGTAGGGAGGAGGGAGGAGGGAGGAAGTCCTGCCAGGCGGAGCCCCGACGCAGGAGCGGCAGGCGTTTTTCGTGCCGCCGGCTGCCGCGCCCGGGCCCGCGGCAGGACCCGAAGAGCCCCGCGGCCTCTCCGGGCCACGGCGGTTTGCACTCCACAGTGTTGAAGGGGCCCTGGGACACACAAATAAATACACACAAATAAAAAGATTCCCCATATTTTCCCATATTTTCTGGGTTTCTGTCTTCCCCCCCACTTCCCATATTTTCCCATATTTTCTGGGGAGTCGACGATTCAGTGTGTCTGTGTGTTTTTTTCCCTCCTGAAGTGTGCACTGCCCCAGATGCCCCAGATGCCCCGACCGCGGCTGCCGAGCAGCCACGCGCCTTCCGCCCTGCACCGGGGCCCCGCTCCGGGCTCCGAGCCCGCCAGGCTCCAGCGGAGCCGACTCCGCCCCTCCCAGAATGCATCGCGCCCCTGCTGCGATGGCCGAGGTGAAAACCGGGCTGGGATCGGGATAGATCGCTCCAGAGCGTTGCGGAGCGCTCTCAGAGCGCTCCGGAACGCTCTGGAGTGGCCGCGGCGCCCAACACATCCTCCAAACCCGCCGATTCTCAGAGATTCCGAGTTATCCCGATCCGATTTTGTCCCGATCTTCGCGTCGTTTTAGAAGTGCATGTCGTGCGCCGCGCGAACATGACGCTCCTCCCTGTGCCCACCGGAAGGTACTTGCCGTGGAAGTGCCGGCTGTGGCTCACGCACTCCTCGTTGTCGACCACCTGCGCGCATCACTGCCCCCTGTACGCGTGAAGAAAAGGAGAATTCCCTTGTGTTCCTTTTTGTGATCTGGGCGACCCCACAGACAGAACCCGAGAAGTCACGTGGTCAAGCCACGTGAACAGCGGCACCCGTCATGCAGGAACACACGTGCCTGCAAGGAAGGAGAGATTACGCACGCAGAAGAAACTCAAAGGAACACCTTTCTGCTTCTCCTTTCCTCTCCTGGCAGGCGGATTCACTGGCTCCACGCACGGACGCGGCTCACTACACAGAACAAAATGGCGACGAAAGCCCACAGGATGATGTATTCAAACCGACAAAGCCCTGGATGAGGGGGCGCCCTGCGCTTTTAGAAGCCATCCCACCTTACGATATTGTAGTGGGTCTGGTTACTCGTGCAGTGAAGCCCCTTGTCTGAAGGCTACCCTTCTCGCCCCGCCCATCAACCTTCGAGCCGCTAAACTTGTGCAGTCTCGTTCTACGACGACGACGACGACGAGGTCTGTGCCTGAGTGTACCTCTGGGGCAGCCTCTTGCCTCGTCCCCTCCTCCCTCCTCACTCTGCCTCACCCTTCGATCCATCCGAGGGCGCCGACGCAAGCGCCGCCGACGCCGTCGCCGACGCCGACGACCGTGAATAATCGTCGTCGTCGTAAACCACATTGATATTCCTTGTCGTTGTTGTCGTCCTCCTCTTTTGGGTGACTCTCGCCTCACTCTGCCCAGTCCATGATCGAACGAGCTGCTGAAGAAACAGCACATGCAACAATGGGCTCCGCGGACGTGCGGCCGTATACAGCGCCGCGCACGAAACGTAGCTCCGCGGAAGGATGCAAAAACCACATCGCCACAAAAGAGCCAATTCCATCTCATATATACTTGGCAAGCACATGCAAATTAATGGCACCCTCACGCCAAGAAGGATGCAATCGGAAGCAGGACCCGCATATCACAAGTGCACGGCGTCCAGTCTGACGCGAATGGAAGTCACCGCGATGGGCGTCGGACGTCATCTGATGGCGGCGCCACCCCAGCGAAACCTCGCCCTTCGACATGCCCAGGAAGCGCCCTCGTTCGGAACTCAAGCCGGCCCCGCTTGCGAAAAAAGGGATGTGACGGCTCGCTCCTTGTCCACCCCAGACACAGCTCATCCGCGCTTCGGGCATGGTCCAGGAGGCAGCGCCGAAAGGGGAACGGTTGGCGAGGGGGCCCCACCGGCGCCCCCTGCGCCACCTGTACGAAACTCTCGCGCACGAAGTCTTGCACGTCATCCACTACCAGCTCCGGCAAGGCAGCGTGGATTTCCAGAGTGGGAGCAGGAGGCGGTGGGCCGCAACGTTGCCCTCTCGAGCTGGCCCTCCGCCTGCAGGGCAGCAGCTCCTCTCGGCGTCCTCGGGGTACCGATGCCGCGACGCACCCAGCCAAGCGAACCAACACAATCCGAAATAACAGTTGCACCACGCGTGCACCGCAGGCCGCCCAGCCTGCTGTTCCGCTCAGGCGCCTCGGGTAGCGGCTCCCAGCTACCCACCCCTGGCGATCAGTGCGCAAAACATTGGTGTGCGACTCCTGTCGGTTAAAGCTGTGTTCAGCCGCGGATCTCTCTGTGTTGGCGCCACTCGAGCAGAGCGATGAGGATATGTCATCCCTTCGAGGACCCTGTGCATGACATCGCTGTTGCACACGAGCGCCAGGATGTCAGAACATAGCCCTGCATAGCAAGCATGCATCGCCGCAAACTCCTCCCTCTGCTTGTGACTTGCCTGGTCAGCAAATCGATCCGCTCAGCCGCACCCGGCCGAGCTGGGCACCCCACATGGATGCCGTTCCGCGCCACTGACCCGCTCCGCCGGCTCTAGCTTGAAATCAGCACTCCAGTGCCGCGCGCACAGAGGACATGGCAAGATGGGCCAAACAAAAACAAGACCAACCTTGAGCCAAAATTGCTTCGTACGGTCCCTCCTCCTCCTCCTCCTCCTCCTCCTCCTCCTCCTCCTCCTCCTTCTCCCCTTCCTCTCCTCCTCCTCCTCCTCCTTCTCTCCTCCTCCCCCTCCTCCTCTCCTCCTCCTCCTGCTCCTCCTCCTCCTCTCCTCCTCTCCCCTCCTCCTCCTACTCCCTCCTCTCTCCTCCTCGTCCTCCTCGTCCCCCTCCTCCTCCTCCTCCTCCTCCTCCCTCCTCCTCCTCCTCCTGCTCCTCGTCCTCGCCCTCGTCCTCGTCCTCCTCCTACTCCTCCTCTTCCTCCTCATCCGCCTACTCCTCCTTCTCCTCCTCCTCCTCCTCCTTCTCCCCTCCTTCGCCTCCCCCCAAGACACCAGGGCACGCAGGCTCGGCTGCCCCTCGTGGAAGTGCTTGGATGCGGCGCACCTCGCAGAGGAGGCAGGCCTCCTCTGATACATGTGGAGTGCGGAGGAGGAGGAGAAGGAGGAGGCGGAGGAGGAGGAAGAGGAAGAGGAGGAGGCGGAGGAGGAGGAGGAGGAGGAGGAGGAGGAGGAGGAGGAGGAGGAGGAGGAGGAGGAGGAGGAGGAGAGAGGAGGAGGATAGGAGGAGGAGGAGGAGGAGGAGGAGGAGGAGGAGGAGGAGGAGAGAGAGGAGGAGGAGGCGGCGGCGGCGGCGGAGGAGGAGAAGGAGAAGGAGGAGGAGGAGGAGGAGAAGGTTGTCGGATGCGCAGAGTCGGAAATACGGAGGTGCGGGAGTGGGGGGTGATGACCGCACCACAACTCAATTTCGAGGCCACTGTCACGACCCGGAGTGCAGAGAGTGGTCTATAGTTCTGGCACCCATGCCTGTCGACGGCGCGCACGGCGCCCATCCACCGAGTTGGCTCTGCGCGCGAGGTGCTGGCTCCGTCGGCGCTGGCCCGCGGGCGGAGAGAGCGAGAGAGAGCAAGAGAGAGAAGAGACACCGCGTGAACCGCCGCTCACGGACGATCGGGTGCCACGGGGACGGCAGCCTCGGTGAAGAGAGGAGAGGGCCGGGGCGAGGATGGTGGCGATGAGGACGCTGCTGCCGAGGGGTGAGAGTGTGACCGTGATGGCGATGCAGTCGGCCCGTGCCAGAAGTATGCGCGACGAGGATGCAAGGGCCTGGGACGCCCACTTTTCGAAGCTCGTCGGGCGGGGCGCGGCCAGCGAGAGTGGCCAAGGAGGGACCGAGGAGGCACGGATACAACGGTACCCTTGGGGAAGATGCCCATCTCTGCCATGCGGGCGGACTGTACCGATGATGTCGAGGACGACTGGGCCGGCGCCCACGCCGCGACGTCAGCAGCGGCGCAGGCGGCCCTTGGCCTCTGCCCTGGTGCAAGCTTTGGACGCCCGAAACGGGTACGGAAAAAGTGAGTACAATGCCCAACAACAACTGTTGTCCCAAACCAACAACGGCCGCTGTCGGGCGGGCGGCCTTCTGTCTCGAATGGACACCGACCGCGGCGACACCGACCGCGAGGCCTGTTCAAAATGAAGAAGAACTGCTGTTGGGCATTGCACCCATTCTTTCCATACCCATCTCGCTCGTGTTCGGTCGGGCCTGTCCCCCTACAGGGAGATTTTCGACGGAAAATAAAACAGATCCCCAAAATAACTAAAACATAGTCCAAAAATAATCAGGGGACTATGTTGTCTGTATCTTCCGACCTTTTTGGGGCATTTTGGGGGTCTTTTTGATTCTTCGTCGAAGATCCCCCTTGTAGGGGGAGAGGCCCGACTTCACGCTCGTGCCGACAGGTGCGGGACCACCGCCGCGAGCGCCTCCGAGAGCGCGCGGGGGCCGCGCGTGCGCGCCGGAGCAGCTGCCGCGCCTCCGCGGCGAGAGGATGGCCGCCCCTCCGGGGCTCCGAAGCCTCGCGGGCGTGCTGCTCTCGCGCGGGCGCCGGGGCCGCGGGCGCGCGCGCTGCGCTGCCCCCAGAGGCTGGGGCGCTGCGGCCCCTCCTGCGGCGCGGCGGCGCTCAGGTCGCGCATGGTCCTCCTCCAGGGCAGTTTTTAATACATCGTTTTTTTTTTTTTTTTTTTTTTTTTTTTTTTTTTTTTTTTTTTTTTTTTTTTTTTTTTTTTTTTTTTTTTTCTTCTTCTTAAAACATATGGGATTTTAATACATGATTCATGTATGAATACATGCATGCATGAACTCATCGTTGTTTTTAATGCTAAAAACCCTGCATTTTTAATACGAGATCCCCACGCGGAGCATGTATTAGAAACGGCACTGTACAGTGCGGGCGAGGTCGCAAGAGATCCTCGCAAGAAGCCCAGCCCTGAAAACCCGCGCGCGAGGGGCAGCTGAGGAGAAAGCTGGAGCACCCCGAGCGCAGGAGCTCCTTCAGAGGCCGCGGGGAGTCACCGCGCATCGCGCGGGACGAAGAAACCCAGGGTGCCCTGACGAAAAGTAAATGGTTTCTTGAGGCGCGCCCCCACTGTACAGGCGGGTTCTGGAAGAAAGATGGGAACTGGCCAAACAGTCCGCAAGCATAGCCAAAAGAGCACGAAACATCGGCCCCAGTCTATTTTTCAAAGTGTTCTTGAATGCTCCTCATGTAGAGGGACATCCCCGACTTGGGGCTTCGCCTTGGGGGACGAACCCGCGTCCGCTCAGCTCCTCGGCAGTCCCATCTGGCAGCGTTCGAGGCACCTGCTATCCTCGCCACCTCTGGGGTCGACGTTGAACTGGCTCATGGTATGAGATCCCATGGTGCTCGGCCACAGGGGCGGGCGCTCAGGATGGGGTCTAGCTCCCTCGCCTCTGATGCGTCCCATGTCGGCTCGGTAGAACCAGCTGCGTATATTTCGATGCTGCGCCAGCGGCGTGGCTCGGTTTGCAAGATGCAGCTGGACATGTTACGAAGCATTGGGCCGTTGTGGCTTCTCATTATGTCTCGCAATTGGGATGGCATCGCGACTCGAACTGGCATACATCGCGACACCTATAATATCATGCCGTGCTCCTGGTGCCTGCGCCAGAGCCAGCCGCAATGAACATCATTTGAAGCATGTGATGTCACTTTGGAAGTGTCCTCCCTTGGACCTCTCGGCAAGGCGCTCAAAAGGCATACGGAGGCCTTCTGAACGCTTCGCAGCGCCTCCTGTGAGTCTCGCTCCCCTGAAGATGGTACGCCTCCCACTTTGGATGCACTGCCACGATTCTAGACCGCGCACTTTCTTGCGACTTCACTTGAAATCTTTACCCGCGCTGGCAGCCGTTTCGTGAGGACCCCGAGAGCAAGAGGGGGGAATAAGGCAAGGAGGCGGGACGACGGCAAGATGATGAGGGAGGGCCGAGGAGGGGACAGGGAAGACGAGGTCGATGACCAAGACGAGCAGGACGACCACGAGGATTGGGGGGATAACGAAACGAGCACAAGCAGAAACGTCAAGTCCATAGGCGCTCAGAGCTCGTAAGATTGTCAATGCCGTCACAAGCCCGAGGGCAGTCATTCTTTTTCTTGGCCCGAGGGCAGTCAAGTCCAGCATGGGCAACAAAATGCCACCACTCGAAGCAGTGAACAATGCACACGGCTCCCCTGCCGCGTCGCGGCCACGCTAGTGTTACAGGTGAGCCTTGCCGACATGTCTCTCTTGGCCGGTCGGACTGTGGCCGGCTGGTTCTGGTTCTGCGGGGCCTATATAAAGGCTGGATGGGGGCACCACTGAGGCGCCAAAGCCCGAGGCCTCCTCTGGGCCTGTCCCAGAGGGCCTACCAGGGCCGTCCCTGGTCAGGCCTACCAGCCCCAGAGGGCCTACCAGGACCGGACTGTGGCCAGCTGGTCGGGACTGCACCGGTCATCTGCGCACCTCCCCCGTGTCGAAACGCTCCTCGGCGCCGGCCACCGACGGGCTCTGGGAGCGAGCGCAGACCCCTGCGCGGCGTCGCCCACGAGCGGCGAAGTGCCCCTGCGCTCCCCAGTGCCCCCCGCGCGGTGCCCGCCGCGCCTCTCTGGCGGCCTCGGGGCAGAGGTCCGGCGTCGCCGCCTCGTGGCCCGGCCGCGCAGCGCGGCCCATGCTCGATCCCGTGCTCGGAGGGCGATCGGCACCCTCCCCCCCGCCCGCGTCGACGCTCGGCTCCGTGTCGGGGAGGCGCAGAAGGTCGGGGAGACGTAAGACCCGGGTACGAGGGACTCGGAAATCCCCGACGAGGTCGTCAAAAAAATGACGAGGCCGAGCCTGCATTTTGACGAGGCCTCCCGCTGCAGACGTCCCACGAAACTCCTCCTCGTCAAAATCCGAGGCGCGGTCGTCAAAAAACGATGGCGAACCCGAGTCCCGGCAAACCCGGGTCTTACGCTCCCCCGGAGAAGACTCGGGCTCCTTGGCCTGGCGGGGCCGTCCATCAAGGCGACGAGAGCCGATCTGAGATCGGACGCGCGCTCCCGCTGCAGACGCCCCGCGAAAGCTGGGCCGTCGACCTCCCAGACGCCCTCGTCCTCCTCCTCCTCCTCCTCCTCCTCCTCCTCCTCCTCCCTCCTCCTCCTCCTCCTGCCTCCTCCGCCTCCTCCTCCTCCTCCGCCTCCTCCCTCCCTCCTCCTCCTCCTCCTCTCCTCCTCCTCCTCCCTCCTCCTCCTCCTCCTCCTCCGCCTCCTCCTCCTCCTCCTCCTCCTCCTCCTCCTCCTCTCCTGCTCGCCCAAAAACGTCGGCGAGCCCGAACTCTGGCGCAGTCGAGCCTCGCGCTTCCCCGACGGTGGCGTCTCCCGGCAGCACGGCGCGGGGCCTGCGCACCTCCGCCCGGGGCTGCCCCCCCCCCCCCCCCTCCCCCGAGCGCGCCCCGCGGGGGCGCCCCGGCAGCGCGCGCCCCCGCGCGCGCGGGAGCCGTCTCCCGGCGCCGCCGCGCGGCCCGCATCCGTTGGCCGATCTCGTGCGGGTGCACGCAGGAGCGACCCTCCTCCTCCTCCTCCTCCTCCTCCCCCTCTCCCTCCTCCTCCTCCTCCTCCTCCTCCTCCTCCTCCTCCTCCTCCTCCTCCTCCTCCTCCTCCTCCCTCTCCTCCTCCCCCCTCCCCCTCCTCCTCCTCCTCCTCCTCCTGCTTTTCCTCCTCCTCCTCCAGTCGGCCCGCACAAGAGGGATGCGCGACGAGGACGCGAGGGCCTGGGGCGCCCACGTCGAAGCTCTTCGGGCGGGGCGCGGCCAGCCACGGTGGCCGAGGATGGACCGAGGCGGCGAGGACGCAGGGGTGCCCTTGGGAAAGATGCCCATCCTTACTGTGCGGGTCGGCTGTAAGGGTGGCCTTCTGGTGCGCGGCTTTCGGGGCCGCGGGGAGGCCAAACCCAAGCGCGCAAGAAAGTGCGATGGCATCGCGCTTACTCATCTGGGGACCCAGGTGTGCCGGGACCAAAGGTCACTCCGTCGAAAAGTCGCTCTCGCGCGTAGCCGACTGGTGGGGCTTCGATTTTGCCTCGGCGACGCCCAGCGGGGA